CAAGGTATTTGACTTCAATCCAAAAAAGTAATGAAATTTCATGAATTATTTTTACAAGCCATACATAATCCATCCCCATCAAACTCTTTGCCACACCTAACGTCAAATACTACTTGAAATGCACAGAGAAAAAAACCTCCTAATTCTTTATAACTTAAACAAATAAAAGTTAAAAATAGCTTGGAATAAATCTCTCAGCAATTATAAATCACAATAAGAACTTGTCAAAAACCCCAGAATACTTGAAGAGCTCAAAGAATCTTTGAGGAATTTGTGGTCTCTACAAAATCCGCTAATAAACAAGAAATCAGGAAAGAACATTAATAATTTATGTTTAATAACAAATCAAAAGTAATTTCAAAGTTATGAAGTAAAACGAAAAAAAAAATAAATAAAATTAAAACAATAAATGTTGGTTTTATTGCAAAATCACATCGACTACGAGAAACCGATGGATGGATGGTTGGTTGACTGTAGCCGAGATCATTGTGGGTTAAATGAAACATGACCAGTTAATAGATTCCACATCTGGCTGTGTGTTAATAATCGCTTAAACATTTAGCAAACAAAAATAGAATCAAGTACTGTTGTTGATTATGGCAAGACAGTCTTAGGTTCGGGTATTGCTTAATCGGCTATAAACAGGTTTGTGAATAAGTAAGAATTGTTTTATTTATTTCTACAATTTATGGCAAGAATTAGAAAATATTTCATTTGAATGTTTAGCAATTTAATTGAGATTGTAAGAGTTCTTGATTATAAATTTTATTAAAAATTCTAAAGATAATTCCGTAATCTATCCCACTAAAAAATAGGCATTTTTCTGTATGACAACACGAAAGTTAATGCGAATGAAAAACAATATTCCAAATTTCTTTTTCATATACATTTTTTATTGCTTCGCCATACTATTAAGTTTTGCATTCCGTTTGTAACTGCTCAAAAAGAAGATTTTAAGCTCCACAAAGTTGTATTTTTGAACAGCATAAGATTCTAAGTCGAATTAGCAATGTCTATGGAAATTACTATGGATAAAATTTCACCTAAATTAATTTTGGGTCCGTAGAAATGTTGGTATTGAAAATAGGCCCAATAGGTCTAGTTTTGTTATAGCCACCATACAACTGTACTGGCAGATTAAGGGTGTTTTGAGGTTTTTAGTCACACTTTTGTACAAAATTTGCTGCAAATTGACAGTTTGCCTTCCTAGTAGGTAGGAAAGATCCTTGCCGAGAACTGTACATATAGGTTCAAATTTTGTTTAAGATCCCACATACTTATCACCGGAATTGCTTAATTTCTAGTTCGTAATAAAGAGAGAAAATTGCCTTTACAGCACCCAATATAACGGCTCTGGCATTATTCGGTATTTTGAAATTAGAATTTGGTGATGCCAATACGTACGATTGTTTGTGATAGAAAACTATCTATATAGGACCACCTTTTCGTATAGTACTCATATAAATGTACCCCCCGATTTTTGATATTTTGCTGATTTGTTTCACACATTTTGCCGAAATGGTTTCAAAAATTGGAATTCCTTTTCCTACGACAGAAACTTGCCTATCTAGATCCACATCTTCGTATACCCCCCTCCTTCTTAATTTCTTCAACGAAATTATTTCAAAATTGGTATTTCAAATTCAAGTTCAAATGGTGGAACTTGGAGGGACGGACCTTGTTCATAATTACATTTAAAATTTAAAAAAATGGAAATGTTATGTTCTGTTACATTCGTCATTAAACCCTCATTTTAGAAAATAGGAAGATAGTAAATTTTGCAAAAATTTCTAGGAAGATACAAAATTTTATGAGAATTACAAAATAGAAAAATAGGCTACGAAAGATTTGCATTATACAATATACGGTACGTTTACACGGTGTCAATAGTCTATTATAGCCTTATATTTGAATCTTATTTTAAGGTTATGAAGTAACTGGCGATTTAAGATTTCAGGTTTGTATTGTTCTAAATATCAGATCCGAGAAAAAATGTTGATTAATAATCGAGTTACTAAATGCAGGAAATAAGTAGCTATATTCTGGCCATGGGTTAGTAGGCCGATTTATATTGAGTACTTTTACAGGAATGTTAAACAGTTTCCTCTTTACCATTGTTTTCGTAGTTGCACCAGTAGTTATTTTATGGGGGCTTAAGATGCATTTTGAATGGTATTCCATCTTTCCATTGTTTTCGTAGTTGCACCTGCAGTTTTCTATGGGGATTTAGATGCATTTTCAAAGGTTTTTCATAATCCAGTGACATGAAATAGTGAATAATTTTAATTTTTTTAGATTCAGACAAATTGTTAGAGTTAAACTGAGGGCATCTTCTCCGGTCGGTGTTTTTGCAGAAAAAAATGAAGATATTCCTATTAACGACTTATCATATTAAGGATTACGAGGAAATATATATCATACAAGACAACCCGTCATTGCAAATTCCTCTATTCATTCGTTTACAAACCCAAATAATTTTTTATTAATTTTTAAGAATTAAAGGTTTATAGACGGAATTTTATAGAAACAATCTTAAAAATCTACGATTTAAGGACAGAAGATTCTTGAACAAATGTCGGAAAATCCACGATTTTCGGAAAAGTATATAAAAACAATCTTTTACTTTCGAAATATATATATATATATATATATATATATATATATATATATATATATATATATATATATATATATATATATATATATATATATATATATATATATATATATATATATATATATATATATATATATAGGTAGGTCTGCTGCAACAACTCTGGCCCATAAAAGGAATAATTGTGAATAAAGACAGCTTTCTGATAATAATAAATAAACTAAACTAATTCGTTCCATTTTATGTAATATTTTTCCTACCACTTACTTTAATCTATTTTGCTTCGTATACCAAGCACTCACTGTATAAATAATTTATGAATTATATAACTTATCTATTCATTGATGTTATTTAAATATTCTCGCGTTGGAAATATTCTCCCGTCTTTAAGAAATTACAACAACATAAAAAACATAATTAAAAAATTTCACAAATTCCAAAAGAATTTCATAACACATATGATATTGACAACGAAAATATTGCTAATAAATAAAATAATATAAAACCAGTAAGGAAAGCTCAAAAGTCGGGCGGGGCCGACTATATGATACCCTACACCACTATGCATATTTAGTAGAGCTCTCGTAAAAAGGTTTATACAGGGCATTTCAGAGCTCTATGAGATATTCGGTACAAAATCAAAATCTATCTAATTCTATCGTGCATTTTACGAACTATAGCTATCTCTGAACCGGGTTTCTCCAAATTTTACGTATTAGCTTCTAGACTGGTGATTTGGGCTGATATTGACCATTTTGTGCACATTTAACCCGAAATCGGATGAAGATATATATGAGAGCTATATCCAAATCTGAACCGATTTCGATAAAATTTAAAACAGCTATTCCTGTGCTCCATCTAATACCTGGTACCAAATATCACGGTTGTGGAGTGAACATTACGAATGTATGGGACTAAAACTCTAAATCGGATGAAACATATATATGGTTGCTATATCTATATCTGAACCGATTTTCACTAAATTTGATATACTTGCTTCTAGGCTGAATTTGGTCCGATGTACTAAAATTCAGTCCATTTGGACTTATATCGGCCATTTGGTGCACAATTAACCCGAAATCGGATGAAGATATATATGGGAGCTATATCCAAATCTGAACCGATTTCGATAAAATTACAAACAGCTATTTCTGGGCTGTATCTTATATCTGGTACCAAATATCATTCTTGTGGAGAGCATATTACGAATGTGAGAGGCTTAAACACCAAATCGGATGAAAGATATATATGGGAGCTATATCCAAATCTGAACCGATTTTCTCCAAATTTGATATACTTGCTTCTAGGCCGAACTCGGTTGGGTGTGCCAAAATTCAGGTAATTTGGACTGATAGTGAATATTTGGTGCACATTTAACCCGAAATCGGATGAAGATATATATGGGAGCTATATCTAAATTTGGTCCGATTCTCACCAATTTCAGTACGGTTCGTCCTTGGGCCAAAAAAATATTGTTTGGAAAATTTCATCTCAATCGGATAATAAATGCGACCTGCATTTTGTTTACAAGAATACATGGACAGACGGACTGACATGCATAAATCGACTCAGAAAGTGATTCTATGAAGGTTCTCAAAAGTAACTATGGGTCTATCTCGTTTCCTTCTCCATATTACAAACAAATGCATAAAGACATAATACCCTTACCACTATGTGGTGTAGGGTATAAAAACGAAAGACTTAAGACACAAACGGCGTAGAGCGATAAAGCCATAACCTAATTCCCGCGTCGAGACAGATTTAAATGATAAAAGAATTATCCCATCTTAAAGAGAATTAATGTGGCCCCATAGCCAATGCCAATGTCCCCAGTGCATAAGTTAAGCCAAACAAAAGACTTAAGAAACGAACACCAAAGAATCCAACCATCGACGAACAAAGCAAACAAACATCAACAATGGCAAACAAACATCAACAATGGCAATAGAAAAGAACAAACATATCTACATGCTAATCACCATCACCACCACCACTGAGAATCAATACGCAAAGAGAATACCAAATTATGTCAATTAAAAGAGTCGAGCGAATTCCCAGCAATTTTTTTTTTTTTTTTTTTTTTTGCGAGAAAGTGATTTTTAATTCAGATAAAAACGCTATAAATTTTAGAATTTCAATAGCAAATAAATCAATTTCATTTATTTAAATGTTTATTTCAAGTGAGGATGTGATTTCGTTTTTAATTCCTCAACAATATGCCATTTTAATTGAACAACAACACCGACAACAATAGCAATAAAATATTGTTTTGAGGGAAAACAGCGAATTTCATCCATGAGTTCTTTGTGTTATTTGTATTGAGTGTGTGTGTGTGTTTTTAATTTCTTTTCTTATCTTTTCGTTTTTTTCCATTTTATTATTACAGAATATTATGAAATATTTAATGTACCGTTATTTAAACAAATCACAATAAGAAACCCCAACAACACCACATCAAAGTGTTAATTTGAAAATTTCTACACAAAAGAAAAAGAACGCGTGTGTGTGAGTGAGAGTGTGCAATATCAAGAAGCCAAAAGACCAGCCACACACAGCCACGAATTTTTGTCGCCAGCTGAAATTAAAAAAAATGAAAGCGAAATTTCGTTGTCATCTCATTTGTAAGTATTACAATACACTTCTTTTTTTTCTTGCCTCTTCTGTTTTTTTTTTTTTGTTTTTTTTTTTTTGCGTTTCTTGAAATTTTAACTGAATCACACTGGAATTTTTTGTTTTGTTGTAACAATAACCAGTCAAATGAAGATAAAAATTAAGTAATAACACATAAACAAGCAAACAAAAAAAAAACACAACCAAGTGAAATTTCCACTTTAAAATCACTTTTTTGCAATTTCAACTTGTGAAAAGACTTTCGATTTTTATTGACAATTTTTTGTTTGTTTTTCTTTTTTTTTTTTTGCGAGCGTCTAGAGCAATTTGAAAACAAAAAGTGAAGGCTATTAAAGAGTAAATATTTGTGGGCTTATGTTCATTTAAGTTATTAATAATTTCATTTACCGCGTTAAGATATGTTAAGTGTATCAAATTAGAAAACCCTGTTTGTGTGTCCACTGTCCACTATCCACTCTTTCCCTAATAAATATTTATAAGAGTTGACTTTAATTGATTTGAATTGATATTATGCAAAATTTTTGCAAATTGGGTTTATTGATATCTGAAAACTGTTTTCTTAATTCTGTTGATTGTTTTTTCGAACTAGTTTAGCTATTCATTTAGAGATTTATCTAAAAAACTTTCTATTTTTCTGCATATTTTTTATTTTGTAAAATTGTCGAGAAATATATGTGGCCTACGCAGAATGAATTATTTTCATATAAATTTAAAAATGAATTACAAGAGGAATTTAAAGTTCTCTTTATTGATACAGTAGCATCAGGGATGGTCCTATTCACCAATGTTATTCCCAAAAATGGTCCCTTCATATTTATATATGATTTGTTTTTTTTTTTTTCATATATAATTTAAGAATAAGTTAAGATCTCTTCGATCCAAAGCCTCAATTTGTTTGCTTATTAAGCTGATATTACTTAACATTATTGTTAACAGCTGTACCGACTAAAACTTCGGCCGAAACCAGGATGTAATGAGTTCTAATTTGGAATGGCGGTATTATGGCAGTTGTAAAAAACTTCAAAATTCCTAACTTTTTGAAATGACCTTGAACAATTTTTTTCAATATATGTCCACTTTCATTGGGGGGTGTACCACAACGTGGGTGGGAAGGCATAACATTTCAGAATTCCTTTCGTGTTCCAGCAAATTATATATCATCAGTCTTTTGGGGTTGTCAAACGAGGTGTCGTAAAGATACAAACACCAATATCAATCACTATTAACTTAAACTTCCGAGTTTTATTCGACATAAAAATGTTATTATAAATTCATTATTTAAAAACGGTAAATCTTCCCTTTATGAGTCATCACTTAACATCAAGAAAAATAGTTCATTTGCTTTATCATAGATCTGGAATCTGGGTATTTACGCAACTTTTTATGATTTGAAATAGGTAAAAAAAAAATAAAATATAACATTTTCTCTCAAACAGGTTTCAACGTGGAACCAATTAGGATATTTTCTCCAGCAAAAATTTTCAACTGTAGGGTGCAAGAATAGTGAATGCTAACGTGGATGATATCCAACTGTTTTGCCCAAAATTCAAGAGCTTTACCTGCAAAATATGTGGTGCCATATGCACGCGTAACAATGGACTCATTGAGAGGCGAGTACGGTGAACATTTTATTTCACATTCCCCGAACCGGTTAATTAGCCGCCTAGATGTTGCGATGAAACGCCTTTAGACTATTTTTTGTGGGGTTAAGGCTCATGTCAATATAGACGAGTCTGCTTTAATAGACGCAATGAAAGACAACATTGCAGCAATTGTTCATAAAACTGCGGTCGAATTGTGAAATAAGTTGACAAAATCGGTCCACCCCATCAAGTGCCTCTCCCACAAAGGCTCAAAATTTTGAATGATAATAACTTTTATAAAAAGTGAAAAAACCCGATTGTCTTTAAATTTCGCATATCTCAATAATTATACAACAAAAGCTTTGGTGTGAAGACGGAATTTATTGGACCAGTCCTTCTAGTAACTCCACCACAACGGGTCTAAAATTTTGAGTAATTATATCTCTCATAAAATGCGAAATAAGTTGACGATTCATTTTAAACTTTACACATTGCAATAATTCTACTAACACAAGGTCTGATGTGAGGATGGTAGACATCGGTCCACTCCTTCTGACACCTTCCTCACAATAGGTCAAAATTTTTAATAACCATTAAACGGCATAAACGGGAAATGAGCAACTGATCCCATTCAAACATATGCGAAATAGAAAATATTAGTTCACTACTTTGGTACCATCCAATAAAGGGTAAACATTACGAACAATCAAGTCTCAAACATAAGCTTTTAAAAATTTTTTTGGTCACCAAAAATAAATGAAATGAAATGCTCTTGTTAAAATAATGGGTTGGTTACCATCCCATGTAATGAGTATTTTTGCTGGGATGAAGGATATTTGGCTTTAATTACTGGTACTACTAGAAAATATCACATGCAGCTACCAAGTTTTTCTGTGATCAGTGGTAAAAATATATAAAATTATGTTTTAAAATGAACTTAACTTTGCCCCTTCCCCATGCACTTTACTCTTACAGGATTAAATTTTTGAGAAACTACGCAAAGCAATGCAGGAGTCTAATTTTCGATCCAAATTTGGCTCCTCTTATACTTCTGTGAAACTTAGTTTTACATGAACTTGATCAGACTCCTCTTTCTATAAATTCCCCGCAGATTAAAGAAAATAAAATCTTAATACTATTGCTCAATCGGTCAACACATTCTACATGTCATGGGAGGTAATACAGATTGCGAACTCAAAACTAATATCATTAGTATACCGAGTACCGAGGCTATGCGAAAACGTGGGTCTGTATAAATAATCTCCTTTTTGAGAAGATGGTTCCTATTGCGAACACCAATCACAATCATTTAGCAGAACAATATTATTAAGGTTATCCAAATGGCAAATGTCGGGGTGTAATGTCATATGGAGACTACGCCAAAACTTGGACCTATATGAACTAAAGTGATTTTTACAGACGGACAGGCAGACCGGCGGATTTTATACTAATCATGAACATATATACTTTGTGGAATCTTAAATTTATAATTCGAGGTGTTACAAACGGAATGACATACATGATCTCATGGGTACAAAAAGGGATTTATATTCGGAGTTGGTTTTTTTCTCCGACTCCCCCCTAAAATTTGCAAGTCTGATTCCAAACATTTGGCCATGTTGTCAAATAAGTTGAAAAGGATGTTTCTTTTTAATTAAGAATGGCATTGGAGAACTTATATTGAAATTCACCACGACTTCATTTATGTGAATGTGGAATTTGTCCACAATTACTATTTTAAACGTACTCCAATAAACTATATGGAAAGCACAAAAATTGGAACTGGCTATCTGATACCGTACAGTCTGATACTCTTATAGTCGAACTTCTCGTAATATATGCTACTTATTACAGCTCTAGAGAGTTATATCCTAATCCTAATCCATTTCCGCTAAATTTGATGGAGATATTCCTTTGGTGTGGAAGACCTCTCGCACCAAATATAATTGCTGTGGGGTGCGTAACTTTCAGAAAGACTTAATGTAAAATCGGAAGAAGCAAATGTATAGAGAAGCCACCGACGTACTCTTCACCAGGAACTATCAACATTTGAAAATATATTCATATTCTCCCCTCCCCATAATCACAAATTTTTCATAGAAAATAACTAAACATATAGAACAAGAAAGGATCGCCAGATTCAAGTGCAAATGTACAATATCGGCCAACTCCTTCTAGTATCTCCCTCACAAAAGAACAAAATTTTGAATAATCTCATCGCATATAAAATGTGAAATAAAAGACCAATTGGCTGGAAATGGAAAGATATATAACAACGCTTAATCTGGTATGAATATCTGATAGAACGGGCTACTCCTTCGGATATCTCGTCCATAAATGGTCAATATTTATAAGCTCATAATATGTGGAAAGGTCCGACTCCTTTCAAACTCGGCACGTCTCAATGTTCCTATCAACAAAAGATGAGGTGTCAAGATATAATATATCAGACAAATCATTCTGGTACCTACCCCCACAACGGGTCATAAATTTAATCCTACTCTGTTTTTTTTTTTTTTTTTTCTTTTTTTTTTGTATGAAAGTCACCAGAAGAAGTGAGCCCATATTGTCCATTTCCAAACTTGATCCAAGTTTCATAGAAATATAACGATGTAAAAAATTTGGTCGAAAATGAGTACTAAATCGTATTTCAGCCAAAGGGACCTAACCCGTTTATCGATAAAACACATTTTGAGTATCAAAAGATACCCTCTGTAGCTAGGATGAGGGTCTAAAAATATGTTCTGTTAGCCTACCTTCAAATTTTAACTCAAAACACATTTGCCTTTGTTTTCAAAGAACCCACATTTTCGCAGACAATGTTGAAACCTTGAATTAAAATTCTTAGTCGTTATATTTTTATTTATTTTTACATACTCAAAAATCGTTCTTATTATTTGTGCGTCAACAATGTCTATCAACCTCCAGATTTGATTGAACTAAATTAAAACCAACTCACCAATAAACACCCCCACAAAATAAAACTTCTACAAAGCCATGGGAATATTTTCTTATCTAATCGAACAAATCCGAAATCAAAGAAGACTTGAATTGGAAATAAATTTGATTTAATAAATCACAAAGACGATAACAATCGCAACGGTCGCACACCAACGTCTGATGATGATCGTTGTGTCGGCCTAGCGATTGACGGCGGCGAATTGGGATTATAAATTCAAGATTAATAAAATATTGTAAAACGTCATAAGGTCGTTCATTGGTCTGAATACACACACACACACAGCTAAACCAAACAAAAAAATGTAAATTTTGTCCAATAATTGCGAAAACCAGAAACAACAAAAACAAGAACAACAAAATGTCTATCTCAACAAAGCCCAAACATTAGTAAATGCCAGCAAACGTTTTGTTGATAACAATGAATGATGAATTTTGATGAATTTCTA